GGTTACTTCAGACAAAATTTCCTAAAATTCACATAAATTTTTTATTTGGCTATCTTCAAATCTCCATTTTACATATCTGCACACAGAAAACATAGTAAAAACCTTATTTCCTTTTCTTTCCTCTATACCTGACACCTGACTTCACTGAAAATTACAAAACCGCGGCAAATCTAGGAAGTTTCAAATAATTGGAAAACCAAACTAACAGGTATAATAAAAACAAGCAGCAGCAGTATTCCATAATGTAAATTACACATGTATATTACATTACATAAGTGAATTTGGAACAAGTATAGAATAATAAGTCTTTTGGACTAATAACAAAATAGCCTATTCAAAAAGCAGTTTCTTGCACTCCATGCCTACAATATAAAAACTCACCTTTTAAAAATTAGAGAAATAAAGTCTTCAGGGGAAAAAATGGAGATGAAAGATCTGAAACTGAAGTTTCACAGTATTTATAATGAAACATTAAATATGACAAAATCACAAACATTTCTCAGGTCATTTGAGATGATAAGTTGACCCTTTGCTAAGGTGCTATAAAAACTTGGGTCCTGATTCATTAAAGTTTACATTCATCCAGCAACAGCTCTTAAAGAATACTAAGAAATAGGGTGTTCTATTCAGCTTTTTGAAAAAAAAGTTGAGGAAAAATTGGGATCATCGTTAAGTCTGTTTTTTAAAAATCTTGAGTCTACATACAAAAATATGCAATCAGTAATCCATCATAGATTACCAAAAAACCCTTCAATCAGCTTAACTATATTTGATAGATTCTATTCACTGTCCCCAATTTGTACTCTCTTCGGCAAGCCTATAAACCTATAAAATGTAGTTGGACTAAATGCCCTCCAGGGTCTCTCGTTTCTAAAATTCTATGATGCCATTAAATGCCTGAGCATTGTACTATGTATTTTTATGTGAACATTTTCTGAAGTCATTCAAGGACCTCCAAAGTGACATAAGAGTATTTGATTACAGAATTAAGAGGCCCAGATTCCATCTTTGTTCTGCTTCTTCATACTAACTTAAGGGTCTGGGAGGAACGCTCTAACCTCTCTGAACCTCACTGTCCTCATCTGTAAAATAAGGGAGCTGGAAGCAGATCTCTTATCTATGATACTGTGATACATACTTTTCAAAGGTAGAGAACAATTCTGCTGTAGCTGATAGAAATCCTGAAATTGATAGTGTATATTTGCTATGTAAATTAATCTATGATTCCTCTTCTCCACAGTAAAGACTTTTTGCACGTGTTTAAATATTTTTTTAAATTGGTCATTCTTGAAAATCTGTCACTTAGCTGTAAGAGACAATTTTAAAAACTCATTTATAGAAATAGAGGGACCAGAATTAGAGGAGAAACTAAGATCTCAAAACATACCCCATGCCAAGGTTAAAGTGGCTAAATAGCTAAAAGTAGGAATAAAAATAAATTCTGTCTTGGCTTCAAATCCAATTTGGAGACTAATTCTATTGCATGCTAACTTGATATCTCTAAAAGCTGATATTTAAGTGTTTAAAATTTTTTTTACTTTAAAAATTATGTCATGGCAATAAATCTATATGAATCAAGGCTATCAAGAAAAACAGTCATGAAGAATACATCCCAAATTATCACTGGAGAACTACTGTAGCTTAAGGTATCAAATACATATTTTTTTAATTGTGGCTTCAGCATGTTGATAACGTTGGATGTTGACTGACAAATGAATTGTCGTAATCAAAAATGTGCTTGGGATCAGACAATAAAAGAACATGAATAAAGATACTAGCATGCTCTAACTACATAAAGAACCCTAGGAACTACTGGGAAACAAAAAATATAGGGTTTCTTCTACTAAAAAAAATATATCAGAGTACTTTAACCAAATAAGTAAGAGAGGTTAGGGCCAAACTCTGATGCTTACTATTCTCTTCATATCTGATTTGTGACTGCTGACTATATGCATGAGGACACAGTTACTTATTAAATGCTTATTATGTTCTGGGCACAAAGTGCCATTCTCCTTTCTTGAATTCTGTCAACTGACACTGCTTGCTAGAAAACATTTACCTACATACACATCCGTAATTACCTGCTGGTCTATTTCACAGACACCCAGGATATGAAGTACTGAACAAGATGTCCCAAGAGAATATCAACTGTTTAAAAGAATTAGATCAGAAAAATGGGCCATAAACAAATATAAGGGCACCATTGTTTTGCCACTGGGCTTACCTGAGTCAATATTCACCTGAAAGAGGGATGAGCTCAGTTTTTCTATTCTAGCCACAGACTTAAGACCCTTATCTTTGAGACCACACCCCAAATCAGTCATAAGATGAAAGGTATAATGGGAAACACCCCACTTCTCCACCTCCTAGAATTCCTAGGGAATTAAGGAAAACTAACAAACATATTAGATAGAGATGGGTCCTTCTGAATATAAAAGCAGAAAGCCAGAAAACCATCTTTGAAACTACACCTTATCTGTTGATCTGATGCAAATTTCAACACCTGCAATATCTACCTTTTGAATCTCACTTGGACATCCAAATTTTGTACATGGGCTTGCTCTCCATTTCCCCTGCTACTACTGGTACAGATTTGATAGAGAAATGCTCATTTGTAGAGGCCTGGGCTGCTAAAGGCAGGAATTAAAACGGGTAGAACTTAAGTCAAATCTTTGTTTTTAGTGGGGGAAACTACCTGTAACTCAGAAAAATAGCCCTGATTCAGTACACTGATTTGATCTACAATACAAGGTGACCTTTCAAATACTAATGGAAAATATTTAATTCTTATAAAATGTTTGTATCAGATTTATTGTTTAAGTGATAATTAAACCATACCAAACCTGTTTCGTAGTAATTTCTTAGATGAACTGAACTAAAATGTTCCTTTTACTTATCCACAACCTAACCAGCCACTCCCCCATCCTCTGAACTTAAGAGTATGCAGTCAAAATCACTTTGTTTTTAATAGAGCCTTACCAAATTTGTTAGCTATAATCCATGCCATATTTAAAATAGATTTTTAAGAATCATCAAGTCTTAGCACCTACTACGCTAGGTGCTGGGAATTTAAAGTCAAGATCAAAATATTTCTTATCTTCAAGGAACTTACCATTCTGGTGGGAAGAAACCTGTACATGATTAAGTAAATTTTTTTTTTGTCAACTGAACCTGCGATTTCAGATTCATTGGTGTAGTAAACTCCCTTTATGAAGGTAGATCATCAACTCTTCTGAAACTGACAATTTTATAGGTTTCCTGGGAGAGGCTAAGTGACTTGTCTAGGGTCTCAGAGTATATATACTAAAGGCAGGACTTTAAATCAGGTCTTCCTAGCTGATATTGCCTCTCTCTCATTCCATATTGCAAAAACAAATATGTGAGTAGATACAAATGAGTCTAGGAAAAAACACTGGATTCATATTGTGAAGGTCTTTATATCACAGACAAAATTACAGAAAATCAATGAAGCTTCATAAGTAGAGAAGTGTGATACAGTCAGATATATGCTTTAGGAATATCAATCTGGAAGCTCAGTGTAAGAAGGAATGTAGTAGCTGGATGCAGGGAGACCAACTATAGTATAGGTGAGAGGTGATGAAAGTCCTGGTGGTGGTCTTAGTTATTATGAAATTCCCTGCAAACCTACATTCTCTGATCCTGGTTCTGCTCTCTAGCACTACACATTAGGGAGGGATGAGGACACATGCTGAACAGCTGCACTGAATAGTTTATCTGGGGTCATAGGACTAGTGACTTAGGTGGGACCTGGTAACAGGTCATCCTTCTGTCCACTACAAAGACCTAACTCCAATTAAAATATCGGGATTTTATAAATCTCCTCTACCCTGTTAATGTCCCCTTCAAAATGTGGCACCTGGAATATTACAAATATGCAGATGTGCTTCCCTGTGCCTAGATACCATTAATGATGCTTGAGGTGTCATTAGCTGTTAGAGCAGGTATCACCCTGTCATCCAATTCACATTGATCTTACAGCTAAGATAACTGGATCTTCCACTTACATAGCTAATTTGTTAATTACATGCAGAATTTTGCATGTAAACATATTTCTTCTTCCTGATTTTCCATAGTTCTACCATGACAAGGTATTTTTGAATTCTTACTCTATAATCAAATTAGTTATTTACTTCCTAACTGTGGTAGTATTTACAAATGAGTAACTCAGCTAATAAATGTAGGCTTAATAAAAAGTCAGAGCCACTATATAACCTATGGCTGCTATTTTTATATAGGCTAAAACACCCGAACCAAGTCTTTCATCTCTCTCAGAGCAAGACAGCATATATAAAACTACTGAAAGGAAGGTTTAGAATGGAAAAATTAAGTAAACTGCTTGCAAACTATACCTACGATTAAAAGAACTTCTTAGACGAAAAGGCCATTCACAAGTGAAATAAGCTTACTTACCTTACTCAAGGAATACTGTATTAAAATGATACATAGTGTGCCATGGAAGGATCAGTTCAATTTATGTAAGGGTCAGTTCAATTTATGTAAGGGTGTATACTTTTGTCTGCTAGAGAACAGCCATATAACCATACTAACAAAAAATTTTTTCACAAGCTCAGTAACAGTCAAAAACAAATAAATCAGGCACAATGGCAGAATTTTTTAATAGTTATATTTCAAATACAAGTACAACACAGAAAATATTTCTATAATCTATGTCATGATGCCCAAGCAAACTTGAGTGGTAACAAGAATGTATTAACATTTGTTCTTCAGCATGTTTTGAGCCTGTTAAAATTTCTCTCTTATCCCACCTTTTCTTAAGAGGCCAGTCTTCACAGCTACATAGAAGAAAACTTGAAGGTAACCAAAAGAGTACGTCTCTTGGTGTACGATCTCCTTATCTGTGAAGCTCTCACTGCTCTATAAGGAAGCTTTCGGCCTTTATGGCTGAAATAAGTAAGATATGCAAAAAGAGAATGTGTTCATTAAAACTACTTTCTTCCCCACCTCTAAAGCAGTCTCACCTTCAGTTCTAGCCTTCTTTATTCCAGCAGACTCGACATCTTCCAAGGACCGCTTTCGATTTGTCCCACTACTAACATGATTAGGAAATGCATTCTGATGAACCCCATTTAAGGTGCCATTAGTATAGAAACGATTCAGATGACAATTCTGCAGGTTTAAGAGAAACTGGGCACATTCTTGGAAACCCTGGGTTTGTGCAATTTCTGCTGCTGTCAGGCCACTGGCATTTCTTAAGCTGCATAATACAAAGAAACTGAATTACATTCCATTAGCAGTTTAACTTGGCTGCTGCTCCTGCTGTTCTTACTGACTAACTATCTGAAGGTGATATGAGAGAGACAGAGAGAAAGACTATACAAATTTATAGCAAATTTTCGTTAAAGAATAAGTAAATCATCTTAGTTCTTTAACTAACTTTTGCTCTTATACATCTGGTTTCTAAGCAAGATTTGGAAGACAGTGTATGAAGACAAAAATCATTATTCTAAACTCCCTTTAAAAAGTTATATTCCTATTTAACACAAATAGCATAATAAAATGCTTAATCTGAAGAATCAGAACTTTATACTAACTTCAGACTAAGTTTGAATCCTGAACTCTATCATCTGCCTATACTTACTTTAAAATCCAATATTCTATCTTGACTAAAAATCTAATTATATAATCAAAACAAACATATACTAGTAATTGTCCATGGCATTCATATAACAATCACTATTCTGCCTAATGGAAAAAAAAGTTACTCAAAGTTTAGGTCTGCTCATGGCAGATTTTATTCAGATATGTGACACTATAAGTGGAAAGCTGGGGGATTACCTTGACACTTAAATTAGATATCCTAATTATTTTATTAAAAGACCTTATGTATTACTTAGAAACTAATCTTGCATAGATGATTACTTGGTTAGACAAACTGGCCAAGACTGTCTGAATATGAATTCCCTTTGGAAAGTCTGCTTACTCTCTTATAAATAGTTCTCTATGACAGAATATGTATTACTTAAAAGAATCAAGACTTTGATGCTTTCTTCAAAACACTAAAAGATAAAACTAAGTTACCTAGTAATGAAAATTAAGATTGAAGAATTAAGTGGAAACATTAAAAATGAAGGTCTCAATAAGATGACAACTTTTTTCAAGTATAAATTAATTTTAAAATATCAGGCAGTTCATAGCAAATGAAAATTTAAGGGACAAAGCTATTCCATGATGAAGTTTGCCTGGAAGATAAGAATACCTATTGCTTTGTGGAAGGGAAAAAAACCTGTAAAAAAGCAAAAAATTAGTTAGCTGAAAGGTCAATTAATTAGAAAAGTATCTAATAAGTAAAAAACTAAAATATTCTCCATATCTATTCACTACAGAGTAGTAGCATGATTAAAAAGAACAACTAAAGACTAAGTGCCACAATTTGAAATGTTTCAGATAAAGATTTAAAAGCCCTTAATCTAAAATCATTTCCTAGAGTCACTAATAAGAATGAGAAACATCTTGAAGCCGAGTAATCCAAAGCCACAGATTCAATAACAAAACAGAATTTCACATGCACAGATGACCACAAGATTTATATTATTCTTTTGTCAAACTTCTAAGAAAGTCTGGAGCTCAAACAATAAAAAAGTAATGAAATAATTTTCCTCAAATATGAGATCAGATGAGAAAAACTTAAGATCAATTTAAATATCAAAATGAAACACTTTAGAGGAATTTCACCTTTTCAGTTTTGTTCAAGTATAAATTTTAGCTAAAGAAGGTATAAGAATTCTAGAGAAACAAAAATCAACTTACAAAAACTCTCCAATTTCATGGAAAGGTTTACAAATGAGAACAAGTTAGACATGTCTATGATTCCTGAGGAGTATCACTGACAATTTCACTAACTATTCAAGTTATAAAATCTGATGAATGTTATTAATTTAACTAACACCTAAATTTGAGGTATGAAATGGATAAATAAAGAAAAGGAAGTTAGGTCAAAATACTCTAGTGGGTTGTTTGTACAAAATGAAGTGCTTGACTGCACTTCAAAATAGTAATACACTGGACCTAGCTAGGAAAGGCTGAAAGATTGGCAACATGACTAAGAATGTAAGAAAGCTAATGTATAAATGCATAATAAAAAAGATTTAAGACTCCAGTTTGGAAAAGTTGCATAAGAAGCCTGTAAATATTATGAACATCGGCTTGCTCTCCAGATCCAGGAATACAAAAACAATGTGCCACTCCCCTCTAAAACCTGAGGACATATAAATTTAGGAGAAAGAGTTAAATGTTACCATATGGCACACAAAGTTTTGAGAACATATGCCCTAAAAGTTATAAATGTTGAAAATACAAACTTAAACGATTTCAATTATCTCAAATGTTAAACAGAAGCTATTTGAAGCAATGCTTGAATTCTGAAGCTGATACAAGGAAACACCATTTTCCTAAACACCATTTTCCTACAAAACAGCCTTCAATCCTCATCAAACAGAATATTGGGCTGGATGGATCATGAGTTAGGCTGGTATGGTAACTCCCATAGTCTTTTAAGTAAATTAGTATTCTAAAGAAAATAGCACCAACATGCTTACTGCAGGAAGAAAAGAGTTACTTGGGATGAGAGAGCAGAATAGTAAAGGTTGTTGGACTATTTTCCTACAGTTCCCTTTCTCCCTCAAAGGTAAAGGACATGTCTTTACATAATTTTCACAAAGAATAGCATTAGCCCTTATTTTGGATAATCAGATTAAATCACTTAAGCCCAACTAGAAAGCTTAAAATGTATTCTGATTTCTCACAATATTAAACTTTAAGAAGATGAGAAAATGCAAAGGAATAGAATTAAACAGAGTTCTGCTGGTTCCTAAACTACTTGTAGACTTAAAAGAATATTAATCAAAAATAAATGGGCTACATGAGCCAAGAATCAGGAAAAAAAGATTAAAATATTTAAATTTCCCCAACCAAAGAACAGATAGGATAGCACTACTTCTTCAGAAGTACTAACTGGTGATGATTTAAGTTTGTATCACTAAATATAAAACCTTCTCTATTATTTTAATGAGAACTTTGCAATTCACAATTTACTTCCAATGATCAATAAAAGTGTATCAATCATAATGCTGTTAGTTTCATTGTTTTGTCATCTTTCAGGCTGGAAGGCAGTGTGGTATAGTGGAAAGAGTATTGCTCTTGGAATCATGAAAGACCCAGGTTCAAATTCCATGTCTCATGCTAGGTGACTTAACCTCTCTAGAACTCAGTTTTCTCATCTATAAGATATCCTACAAAATGGAATAATACCACCTGTGGTACCTACCTCACTGGCTTGTGAGACTCAAAGAAGATTAACATACAGAAAGTGCTCTGTAAACTTTAAAATGTCAGCTATTATTAGTTTGTATTTGACAATCTATACATACTAATACATACCTAGTTCTTCTACGCAACTTTTTAACTCTTTGCCCTTAATCTGTACTGACAATGGCATTTTATCACAAAATGTCCTGTTCTACAATTGCCTGTTCTCATTAACTTAGCACTTTATTATATCAGCATGTAATTAATTGGGAATAGAGTATCTTGTTCGCTGACTGATTCATTTGTATGTATTGTCTTCCCAACTAGCTTATATGCTCCTTTGGAAAAGGCTATGTCTTTTGTTTCCCATGGGACTGGGCACACAATTAAGTATTTACTGAATTTGCAGTTAAAAAAACATTTTATTAACTATGTGTTTTAATAAAGGTTATGTAATGACTTTTTGGGGGGTTAAATTGCTAATCTAATTTACAATCTCAATTCTTAAATCATGTCAGAGACTTATAATCTTTAATACCCCAGAAGTCTAGAGACAACACAAATAATATTTATTGGTAGTATTAAGGATTCATGTTTCTCTGGGGTTTTTTCTTTTAAAAATTTTTAAGTGGTTCAATATGCACTTTAATAATCACTCTGCATTAACAGTTTTAAAATAAACCAGGCAAAAACTGTCTTAATTGTATTTCATTTCTTAAAGATATTTCCGTAGTAGTTATACTCAAATATATCGTTTTATGTAGCATGACAAGAAAAAAAAATCTGAAATGAGTAGCCAACGTTGTAAAATATTGAACCTTCGCAATCATCACCTAATCCAACGCTCCTCACCTTATATGTGTAGCAACTGGGGCCCAAAGAAGTAAAACAAATTGCCTAAGGTCACCAAGGGACTTAGAAGCAGAGCTGAAAGCAGGACTTGGGCACATGCCTGACTCCAGTCCAGTGATCTTTCTTCTACCCTCTTTGTCTCTTAAAATGCTCTTTTTCCCCCTTAAAAAGTACACTTTTTGTGTATTCAATGTGTTTCTTATATAACGAATCTATATCCATTTTTAATAACTTCTCTATTAAAAAGATAATATTCTAAAACAGAAATACTGTCATAAAAATACATCACAACTGAGAACACCCTCACACTTTAGACAGTTTGGCAAGAAAATAAAGGGTCTTTTTGGATCTGATGTCTAATAACATAGAGCAAACAGCAACTCAAGATTGATTCATTTTAACAAAATTTAAACTCGGCTTAACAAGATACTCTTTCCCAATACTTCTGCTTTTAAGAATTACAGAACAAATATTTTTAAAAAGCACTTAGGTCTTTCTTTAAATTTTATAATTTTTTTATAACTATCCCAAGATGGCCATGATGCTATACTCTTAAAGTCTAAAGAGGTGTCTACTGAATTAAATTACTGTTTCAGAATGTATATATTATTGTACTCCAAAGGAAAATTAAAAGCAATTGGAGCCACAGTACTACACAAAAGCTTAAAAAAAAGTTTCCAAGAACCATCATTAATGATAACCAAAGTGATAATGAAATTAGACACACGCTATTCTGAAACTACGTCTCTGAAGACAAAAAAATTTAAAAAGAAACAAACACCTTAGACTTGAAATGCAATCTGCCTCAGATTTATGTGGCATTAAAATAAAAACTTAAAAACTGAATTTAATAGGCTGTCTTGAGTTTTAGATAACTGAAAGTACTACATCTAGTTAGTCCTAAGGTTGTAACTGCTCTACAGTACTTTAAGAGATAACTGTGCTTGAGATACAAATACAAATGTATACATTTTATCAGTATATCCATCCAAATTCGTGAATATATACTTTTACTAAGTCTGGTATGGCCTTATATATTATGGACTATTTAAAGAAATATTTTAATCAAGGTCAACCACTTTCTCTCTACACTTAGTT